AGGGAAAAGTGCATTCTCATGCTGTCCTATAGACCTGTGAAAACCTAGTGCAATTGAGATATGTATGAAAAATTATGCATAAGAAGAATTTAACGATGAAAGGCCATTTCTGAGACTTCACCTAAAGGAAATAACTGTGCCTAGAGATGTATAAAGGAATATGATAATAGACACTAGTTAAAATGAAAAAAAAAAACGCTGGAGAAAAATCTAAATGTACTTAGATGGGTAGTTAATTCAATAAAGTGTATTCATTCATATAATGGAAAATGAAATAGATACTGAAAATGATTGTGAAGATCACTGGTTCTCAATAGGGGGTGATCCTGCCCCCCAGGGCACATTTGGCAATGTCTGGAGACATATTTGTTTGTCAAAATGTGTGGAGGGGTGCTACTGTAACTAGTGGGTGGAGATCAGGGATGGTGCTGACCATCCTACAAGGCATAGGAAAGCCCCCCACCACAGCTAAGAATTATCTAGTCAAAAATATCAACAGTGCTAAGGTTGAGAAACCCTGACATAACTTATTAAAGGAAGATAACGTAATCCAGTCTCTATAATATATTATCGACAATGCCAGTATATGATAAAACTTATGAAAAATGCAAAGAAACAGGAAAGTTACTGATAATCAAGAGAAAAATCTCAATAGAAATAAACCCAAAGATGATCCAGACAATGGAGCTAGTAGAAAAGGACTTGAAGATATTATGATTAACACGCTAAAGAAAATAGAGGAAAAGATGGACAAAATGGAATGCAAAATGGAGTATATCAATAGAGATTTAGTAGAATCATAAAAAAGAGACCCACATGAACATTTTATAGTTATACAAATATAATATCAAAAATTTTAAATGTATTGGATGGATTTAACAGCAGAAAATGGTATTAATTAACATAAAGTCAAATTAACAATAATCTTATGCAGAGAGAAAAAAGAAAGAACAGAGCTGAACGTAAGAGAAATACAAGAAACAGACAAAATGTGGAATTGAACACCTAAAAGAAATAGAACGGAAAATTGATTTGAAGAAATAATGGACAAAATCATTCCAAATCTCATGAAATACCTTGATACATAAATCAAAAATCTCAGCAAACCTAACCAGATAAAATAAGGAAATTCTTACCCAGGCACATTATGGCCAAATTGTTGAAAAACAAAATTGAAAAACATATCTTGAAAGTGTGTAGTTTTAAAAAGACATCAGTTATAAATAAACAACAACAACAAAAATAGTTCTTATCTCAACAGAAACTTTAGCGGCCTGAAAAATGGAATCGTATCTTCAAAGTGCTGAAAGAAAAAACCCTGACAACTCTGAATCTGGAGAATGTATCTTTCAGAAATGAAGGTAAAATAAAGATTTTTTTGAACAGAAGCTGAGAGAATTTCTGATCAACAGACCCACAATACAAGAAATACTAAAGGACAGCAGTCAGGCTAAAGGAAAATAATCCTAGATGGAAGAATGAATGTGCCAAAAAGCAATGAACAGCTGTGGACAAGTAAATATATGACTAATACGACTAAACAAATGGACTGTTTAAAAGAACCAAAACTAGAATGCTTTGTGAAGATTGTGTTACTGGAAGAAGGAATGACAATAACAGCATAAATGGATTTAAACTATTGAAATGTTCTTATGTTATTTGGTATGTGGTTAAAAACCCTACTTTTTTTTTTTTTTCTCAGCTGTGCCATACGGCATGCAGGATCTTAGCTCCCCAATCAGGGATCAAACCCATGCCCCCTGCATTTCGAGTGGAGAGTCTTAACCACTGGACCACCAGGGAAGTCCCCTAAAAACCCTATTTTATTTTATTTTATGTTTTTGTTTGTTTGTTTTTTTGCAGTACGTGGGCCTCTCACTGTTGTGGCCTCTCCCGTTGCGGAGCACAGGCTCCGGACGCGCAGGCTCAGCGGCCATGGATCACGGGCCCAGCCGCTCCGCGGCACGTGGGATCTTCCCGGACCGGGGCACGAACCCATGTCCCCTGCATCGGCAGGTGGACTCTCAACCACTGCGCCACCAGGGAAGCCCAAAACCCTATTTTAAAGAAGACTGTATTAAAGATGCACCCTATATGGGGAAATATGTATACATATAGCTGATTCACTTTGTTATACAGCAGAAACTAACACAACATCGTAAAGCGATTACATTCCAATAAAGATGTTAAAAAAAGAGATGCATCCTATAATAGCTCAGGTAACTACTAAAAGAATTATACAAAGATGCACAACTAAAAAAGCTAATAGAGGAAATTAAATGGAATAATGAAAAATACCTGATTAATTCAAAAAAAGGCAGGAAAGGAAGAATAAAGAAATGAAGAATAAATGGGATAAACAGAAAACATATAGCAAGATGGCAGATTTAAACCAAACTATATCAGTAACTGTAATAAAATGTGAATGGACTAAACATTGCAATTAAAAACTAAGATTTTCAGATTAAATTAAAAACAGGATCAATTACACTGCTTATAAGAAACATACTTTAAAGACACAGATATGTTAAAAGTAAGAGTGGAAAAGTATATTAGACAGTAATTAGAAGCACACTGGTATATTAACAACAGGTAAATAGACTTAAATGCAAGAAGTATTATAAGTAATAAAGAGAGATATTTCCTACAATTCAACAAGGATATAAGTTATCCTACATTCCTTATACTCCTAATAAGA